AATTTTGCCCGGGTGGCGGCCGAAGCCTACTCTTATCGATTTTAGACCACCAAGGGATCTTTAACGTGCGCAACTTGCACACGGGCCCTCCGAGATTTTTCGCCCTTGTCCGAGAAGGCTAGGTGTAGATCTTTCCTACCAGAAGATCAGGGGTGTGGCAGAAAGACAGCAGTTAGGAGGAGCCAAGGAGTAGCAGTAGAAAGGCTGCAGAAAGAGTCAGGAGCCCAGAGGAGGGGGCAAAGGGGGTGAGGGGGTGGGGGCAGAAAGTGGAAATGAAAGCAGACAACAGAACATTGTTAGAGATCAGGAAAGGATGTGAAAGGAGATAATTTTAGAGAAGAAAAATATTTTGGTCGCTACCCGGAATCGAACCCGGGACCTTTGAATGAGAGGCCAACACCTTAACCTCTAGGCCACGAGAGCCCCTTTCTGTGGGTTTACGCGGAAACTTCACTTCGGTATTTCACATTTCATATTTATACTAATTATGCAATAGTTCAGTACTTCAGTTGGAGTAAGAAAGCAGTCGTGCGGTATTACAAATGGGATGTAACGTGACAACATCATAACGACATTTTGATGGGATCCCAAGCAGAGTATAGTGTGGTGTTTCAGTAAGGATAAAAATGGGTCAACATAATATGTAAAGCGATAAAATTATTTTGTATGGGGAAAATTAGTGCAGTAAAAGAATACTAAGACCGTGAGTCTTATCATAGCACATTTCTTAAAAGTGTGCCCGAAGTCAGACTGTACATTCATTTATTTATATGTTTGAGTGTAACGGGGGGGGGGGGGGGTTGTTCGCTTTTTCTTTTCTTTCTTCTTTTTCTTCTTTAACGTGAAATACGTGCTTTAGCCAATTGGATTTTCCTTCTCATTGACAAGATCAAGCACCTTCGAGAAGTCGCAAAAGTGCTCAACCAGCTAAAAAATTGGATAGGACTGCCTTGTCGTTCCGTTTATGACACCCTTCCCTCGCGTCTCAGGACGGTGCGTACTCTGCCATGAGTACCAACCAGACATCAGCCAATCAGAAATGTCTGAGCAAATGAGCAAAACGGTGCCACCCTGACGACAGACACTCACCCACCCCCAAGCCAATACGACGAGATTACGTGACTGAGCAGATGGGTGTACGTGCAGTGTGGAAGATGAGTGAGGAGTGACACAAACACTCACACACACAGGTAGGGTCTTTATTGTGAGCACGACATCGGGCTGCGTGAGTTGTTGAAGGCACGTGACGTGGGAAGGCGTTGTGATTGTGAGTACAGATTGGAGAAGGGTACTAATAGTGGATTCTTCCTCATGTGTGTTTGTGAGATAGTGTTTGTGTGGGAGATAGTGTTAGTGTTTGTGTGGGAGATAGTGTTAGTGTGTATGTGTGTGTGTGTGTGTGTGTGTGTGTGTTTGTGTGTGTTTGTGTGTGTATGTGTGTTTGTGTGTGTATGTACGTGCGTGTGCGCGCGCGTGTGTGTGTGAGTATTGTTGTGTTTCTGTTTGTGTATGTATGTGTGTATTTGTGTGTGTGTGTGTGTGTGTGTGTGTGTGTGTGTGTTTGTGCGTGTGAATGTGTGAGTGTGATTGTGTGTGTGTGTGTGTTGGCTCCTCTATATATAGGGCAAAGATATACGTGATCTAATATCTTGACACGATTGGAAGGACAGGCACACTTGTGTTTATAGGAAAGCTATCCATATGTTTACATAAAAGTGGTTGATGTGTTTATAGGAAAGCTATTCACATGTTGTTTTTTAAATGAAAGTTGTTAATGTATTTATAAGAAAGGTGTAATTGTGTTAAATGGAAATGCGTATTTATAGCAAAAGCGTATGCATGTTTATAAGAAAGGTATACGTATACTTATAGACAGAGGCGAAGCGTCTCTATAATCAAATAATCACTGCTTCCCTTCCTAATTTTGAAACATTGTCGCAGTCAAATTCACCCATAAACGTAAACTTCATAATTTAAATGTAAAAAGACGTTCATAATCAACAATGAACAGTATGCTTAACATTCTAAACGGTTTCATTGCCACAGAAATAGCCTGTTCACCCCTCTTGGGCTACTCCATAAGCAGTCACAAGCTTTGATTAAGTAAGTTTAAAGTGAGACTGGAAGAGTCTACCAACAGAGTTGAAGGGAACATGTGCATGACAGTCAAAACTGTTTCATTGCCACATATACCCTGTTCACCCCTTTCGGGCCACAGTTATAATCAGTCACAAGCACTGATTAGGTAAGCTAACTATTACACTAGTCGAGTCTACCTCACAGATGTGAGGGGAACTAACTCCTAATAATCTCTCGACTGCTTCGAGTGCTTGTTTTTTTTCCTCGACTTTTTACTGCCCTAT